ACAAAGGCGTACGAAAATTGGCTTACTATATTTTGATGTTACCTCCTTTGCTTTACGAACTGTTGCTACAAATGTAAACTAATTGAAATAATCTATGCGCGTTAACATTTTAATGAAAAATAATTTTATAGGCGTAACGAGGCTCGTTATAGGCGTAACGAGGCTCTGAATTTAATATGATACGACAGAAATTTATCGCTCTATAGGCATGTTGAACCAGTGTTTAACTACTTGCCCTCAATTGGCGCATGCATAAGGTCGATAATAAAGTAGTTCAAGATGCAGATTTTTCTCGAGACGCATACTCCTACATGCACATGGAGATCCTCTTTACGATATCAACTAGCTATGTGACGAACTATCAACCAAGGAACGTAGCACCCTTAGGATAGTACTCATTTTATAATTGATTTTCAGGAGTTCCCAAAGTATCTCTAGACCTTGGGGTCTTGAGGTATTGGATCTTGGGATCAATGAAATTAATATGGGACCAAATGGGAAGCACCAGCTTTCAAATAAATAAAGAATCATCAAAATCAGTAGAAAGTTATGAAGTAACAAAACATAAAAAAATACTGTCGAATTGAGAACTTCCTCCTCTTTTGAAGTCGGTTTGAAAAAGAAATTGAATATAATATATGTGTATAAAATCAATATATGTTCCCCGGACTTGGATGGTGCTTTATTTCCTATGGACTCCAAAACGGCTCAACTGATTCCGATGAAATTTTCAAGGGGCGCTAGTAAGAACTAAGACATAGTACTTATAATTCTGTTAATTCAGAACTGTGAGGCGTAAGTAAAGCTTAAATTTTCGATGGAAAAGTCAGTGTAATAAAAATTATTAAATTTCATCGTATAATAGTCGAAGTGTTGCATCAAATACTTCAGTTTATCTATCATAGGATTTTACCTATAAATATCAAAAAGTTGTAACATAAATCTAATAATATTTTATAGCGATTGCCACTCAGGAATGATCCGTATCACTCGTGAAATGTTAGGTAACGGATTTAGATTTATACATTACCTATTACTTACGAACGGACGTATTTATCTCTATCCTCCAACTTTTTTCCTACCCGCCCACCCTGTGTTCGCCTCTTCATTTATTTATTTATTATATTTATTTTCTTGAGGTTGACACATTAAACAAGCAAATTATTAAAAAAACTAAAAAAAATATTTCAACAGTTATAAGTGAACATACTTATATTATTATTAACATAAACCGTATAAGTATCGTAGGCTACCTCACTCACCAAACCAAACACAGAAGTATATCACATTCCACTTCAAGCTTCTTCTGTGAGGTCGTGGTATTTACCTGGATGGGCCTGCCCATTCTTGCAACAGCGAAAGCTGTTGTGTGCTTGTTATATACATAGTATCTGGATGAAAGAGCTTTACTCGGTTTTTCTCTCAAAAGAAGGAACTTAAAAAAAGGGTAAAAATAAAAAAGAAAGAAAATCATCTGGTCTCGATCCGGGGTGTTCTGGTTTCGGGACCTCCTATGACCTATTATAGACCTTGTAGATGGTGGCGAATTTTACCTTTGTATTCTAATAATATTGTAGCAGTGTCTCATAGCTTGAAAACACGGATAAAACGACGTTTTCTAAAAATGAAACCTAGCTAGATTAATTTATCGGCCCCGATACCCCCTAGCATATAATTTTCATGAAAATCTATGGAGCCGTTACCGAAATTCAGATATAGACATATGAACAAGAATTGCTCGTTTAATATTAATAGAAGTATATAAAATAATATTATATAGATATCGTTAGGCCAACAGATAATCCAAAATTAACGAAATCTTTCCAAAGACATACGAAAATCTATATCATGATTTACACTTTACAATATTATTGAGATGTAAATAAGCCTAACAACAAATATATTTTTATCCGAACCTCAAACTTATCAATACCCAGGAAATTGCAACTAGGAATGCTATTCGGAATCTTCTATTTACAATTGACGTTTTTATCTACTATCTATTATTATCTATTCTACCTATTTCCTATTGTACTAAATATTATCTTTCTACGTATTCTAAAATGTATAATAGCAGTGTAATTTGATTTTTAGTGTAAAACGGACATATTAAATTATTTTTTTTTTTTATATTAATGAACACAAAATTTCGGCGCTGCGGAATTCGAACCTTCGTCTACTGCCTTTGCGCCCAGACGCTTTACCAACTAAGCTAAGCGGCCAATGAACTCACGGCATCTTAATATTTATCTACGTTAGTTCTATTGCATGTTAACAATGCTTGGCGCTATGTAGTGTGCATCTTTTACAGCACTCAACACCTCACAAATAACATTCAACGATGATGATATTTGTAACGACAAATGTCGCCATTGCTATTAAATTGTGTTAAGATTAATTGTAAGAACTGACAAATTTTCAGATTATATGAAGATTAAAAAGGTTAACGCAGTTTTTGACCTGAAGTCCGCTTCAACATAAACTATCTCTGTTATAGATACACGTTTGTTTAATATTAACAATTAGAATAGTTTGCACCTCGTTGCCCTAACATCCGGCTTGTGCAGTTTCATCTTCGGGCTTGAGAATTGGTGAGAGGCATTAAACTGAATGTCATAGTTAATCCTTTTCCTTTCTTCTTCTTTGTTAACTTCTTTTTTGTTAACCCGCCCTCGAGGGGGCAAGGGCGATGTTCCGCTCAGACGCATATTTGCGAGGCCACGGGAACGCTTTCGCACACTTTCGCGACCCTGTCAGCGCTGGCCGTCTTAGCAGCCCCTCCTCTGGAAGCAACTCCCCTCTCCTCAGGTAAGGCACGCTGGAACATTAAGCGCGCCTTCCTTCTCATTGCCTTTTAACGACAAACAAATTTGGCGAAGGTGAAGATCAGCGAACTTGGGGGGAGTTCGCTGATCAGAGGCCATAAAAAGCAAGCCTCCCAGTCCCCAGCGGCGGACCTGGTGTTTAGCTCCGCCGCTCACCACGTTCCGGCCGCGGAGCGTAGGGAGAATGGCGTATGGCAATACCGAACCCCTCTTCCCCTGCGGCCCCACCACCACTGCAGCAGCTGTGCAGCCCCGCCGAGTTTAAAAATTATTATTTTAACAATATTATTTCGTTTAATAATTTTGCATCGATTTCTGTCGTCGACTCATCATTGTTAATCCTTGTAGTAGTACTCGTGAGATGTGAGTTCGACCCGATCAAAGCAGTTTATATCGCTATATAACATGTGTCCTCTTTTTTCTCTTTTACGAGCTTTCGGTGAGATATTCATTGCTATATTTTTAAAGAATTCTAATATTATTTCATGACTGACACTAGTCAGTCATGAATGATTTCGTTAAATTAAGAAATTAATTAATTAAGAACGGGCTACGTCACTCGCCGGACTAAATGCAATGGTACAAATTCTTCTACCTCCCGCCAACAGTTTGTTAGAGCTTTCATGTATGTTGTTTCTGCTCTACTACTAACTCGAACACGATATACCTTATGACAAAATTTTATGTGTCAACAATTCAAATATGGATGATTCTTGACGGTAAAAAATCTAATTAAAATATTACTCGTACTTGAGTTAAATTAGCTTATTATTTTATAAAACTAATAAAATATATTATCCTAGAATGATTCGATCATTGTTCATCTGCTAGAGTCTCATATAATAAAGCAAATTTATAGAATTGAGGTTTTCTAGATAAATAATTATTATATGGTAATGGAATTATGACGTTATATATGAAACAAGTCCACGTTTGAGTTGTTATTAAATTATTATTAATGTTATTATTAAAAACCAAACAGCTGACAACCTTCACGCTTGTATAGAAACAAAATATTTACTTTCACGCCACTGTTGCCTTTTGGTGCAGCGTTTAACTAAACTTATGTTTAACAAATCATAACTGCTTATGTTAGTGTCAACTTAACGAAGTTTTGCAATCAAAGGCGTACGGATTACAGTTTAAATTGCTACAACATCGATAAAGCATCTAAGCTCCAATTACGTTGCACGCGATTAGTCATAGGCAAAGATTGCGCGACATTATTTAAAAATACTATTAGTTGTTTATGTTATAGTGTATTGTAGGCAAAGGAATACGTGAGAGTTGATCGATTGCAAAGGGTGCATGTACCTACTATACATATAAGTAATCCAAACAAATTGTTCTCGGTAGCGAAATACCGAAAGTTATTTAAAGTTACGGTTGATTTTTTTTATCGCTTGTTTAGTTTTTTCGGTGGTAGGGCCACGCAGCAGCCTCGGCTGTAGCACGAATGGGCAGGCGCGTCCGGGTAAGTACCACGACCTCACAGAAGACTAGCGTAAAGTGGAAGTATGACAAATACTTTCGCGTTTCGTTTGGTGACTCAGGTATCCGGAGCCCAACTTTCAAAAGGTTGTCAACGCATCTGTGATCCTCGGGTGTAGCAGATGTCCATGGGCAGCTGTATTCACTTAACATCAGGTGATTCGTCTGCTCGTTTGGAAACATTTCACATAAAAAAAATGACATGTCAATTGCAAGTTTGAAACGCGGTATTACATGTCTATACAGACTGGTTTTGATCTGCCTTCTTTCAGTTGGCAGATGTACAATTTTACATATTTTACATTACTTATGCGGTTAGTCGAATGCTTTGGAACGACTTTATTCCAAGCGGGAACTACCATAATAAACCGTGTTTTAGAGTATTTGTTAGTGTTAATTTTAATTTGTGCTTTGTAAATGACGTTCGGTGAATACATCAAACAATAATATCTTAAGTTACTACATAAGGACACGGTATATGGAACTAAGGTTTATTATTGTTTTTCTTTTCTGTTACAGATTGTATTCAAAACATCTGAGCAGTAGCGATTCAGTCTTTTCAAGAGCAGCGAAGAGGCGTGCCGCAGGGTGCACTTGTGGGTCGTGCACTTTACTCTGATTTTAGTCAATTGTTAACGATATCATATAGTTTACACTTACTCTCCTACAATCTGTGATATCTGGATGTGTCTCCAACGGGACGAAGATGATGGTGACCATATAAATGATTTGGTAAGTCTTAAAGGTTTTTGTTAAACTATTATATATATCACTTTAAATGTCATTGTGAACTTTAAAGGCATTTAGTTTTCAAATGTTCATATTTTAAATTACTAAAGTGAACGTATAAACTGTGAGAAATAAAAGAAATGGCTACGTTTAAATTTCGGCAACGTTTTTTTTAAAGTTTACTAATAAGTTTTAAGATACATTAAAAAGGGTACTTTTTATTATCAACTAAACAACTGATATTGTAGTTTTAATAGGAATTAAAATATTGAAACGGATAGTTTTTAATATCATGCTGTCAGAATGGTCAGTGTTGAATGATAGTTTTCTAAAGGATCAATTATAACATACTAGTTTATAACTTTTATCAGTGGTCGCCCAGTGGTACCATAATTAATTATACATAGTAGTGTGAGTAATGTTTTTGTATTGATTTAATGTATTTTTATGCATAGTTTTTAAAAAAATATTTAAATAAGTTTTTAAAAAAGACATTTCCGAACTATCACAATCGTTTAGATTTAGATATTCACTTCTACTTACTGAAATTTTCCTCGGAATCCGCCCTTGTTTTTGGAAATATTCGGACCAGACTGGGCTCGTTTTTGACCAATGTGTCAAATTAAAATATCTTTATTGAATACATTAGCATTTAATTATTAATTAAAAAAAAAAACTACTATCGGTTCTGAAAAAAATCGGAGTAGAACCGGCGATAGAAACTAAGCGGAACAATTTTTTTTTGTGTTCTAGTTCATTTCAAATTTTGCCGCTTTTAAAGCAAGATCTTAAAGCCTGTGTTTTATTTGTGAATTTACTGAAATAGTCACGCGGCGTTTGCTGATATCTTATCCTTTAAACGAGCAATTCTTGTATATATATATATGTAATATATATATAATATATATATAATCGGAATCTCGGAAACGGCTCCAGCGATTTTCATGAAATTTAGTATGTGCATAGATTCGGGGGCGAAAAGTCGATCTAGCTAGGTTTCATTTTCTAAAAATGTCCTTTTATCCCTGTTTTCAGGGAATAAAAAATATAATTCGAATATGACGGTAAATTTCGCGGCAAGAGAAAATGTCAAAATAGCTCGGTCGGTAATCGGGCGGCCCCTAAACAGACGGCCGTGGTTCGCGTCACGATCATTTACACAATTATTTTTTTACTTTTTTTCGATTCCAGATCATTGCTTTCTTTATTTTTAATTTTTTGTCGATTTGTTATTTTGTTATTTTTTTCCCTTTTTTTTAAAGTTCTTTCTTTTGTGAAAAAAATCAGTTCATATTTTCTTATTATTACGTCGGTAAGATCGAAAAATATTATGCATATTTCATTAGTCAGTAATTTGTATCTAAATGTAATTTCCAAATAACACGATTTACCAAAAAAAAACAAACCGAGCAAAGCTCGGTCCTCCGGGTACTGAATTAAGGCCTTAAATAAGAACGGTGTGTAGTATATATGTTCTTGCCCTTCGCCTGTAAAGAAGGGTAACCAGGGCCTGCCTTTGTACAATACTTTCCACATAAGTAGCATTCTTTATAAACACCTTAATAATTATGGTATAATTTTTGTCTATGACAACACTGGCAACGGTATATAATAAGAAAAGACACGATCTCTCTGACAAGTCTTAAATAATTGTAAAATTCTACACTACAATGAATTCTTATGATAGTGTTCACGGTGTGTGACAAAATAATTGATTTTCAGGAGTTGTCTAAGTATCTCCAGAGCCCAAGATCCAATACACTGTTCACTCAGTCAAACACAGTTCTGAAATCGGTTAAAAATTATGAAATTTTCTTCGTGCTTTTCAAATGTTACTGCGAAATATTTCGAATCTGATTAAAGAGTTTTTATTTTTCTTTTAAACTATAACGATTTAACGTCTGATACGTTAGAGACTTTGTTTAATTTTTCAGAATAGGTAAACTGTAGAGACTTCCATCGGAATAACTGCGGAAGGGCTACGCAACAGTGTTCGCTGTTGCACAAATGGGCAGGTCCGTCCGGGTTTGTACCACGACCTCGGAGAAGACCGGCGTGAAGTATAAGTGCTATGCTTCTGCGTTTCGTCTGGTGAGTGAGGTAGCCGGGGCTTACTTTATTTATTTATTTTTTAATTCAAAAACTCGCTAGCACTTAGAACCTATTCACTCTTGCCTTGAAGACGCCAACGTTGTATTTGTACGGAAAGACGGACGCCGGCAGGCTATTCCATTCCTTAGCTGTACGGATGATAAATGAAGAAGCGAAAAGCTATTAAAAGGTAGCAACGCATCTGCAACGCTACGGGTGTTGCAAATATCCATGGGCGGTGGTTATTACTTAACATGAGGTGAACCGTTCGTTTGCCACCTTGCCACATAAAAAAAATCCATCGAAATGTGCATTTACGACTAATATTGACGTTGCTATTTATAAAACAATAATTCCTTCATGGCGGGGCCGGGTTTGTCTGGAAATGATTTTATCAATGTTTATGATTTCTGCTGCGTTAGCGTTTCGGCAATTTGTTTGGAATGTGTTAGTTGTCTCGTTGGTGTGAATTTCGATTCCAGTTATTGTTATGCGACAGCGTTTGGCCTATGTGAGGTTTGCGATGTGCTTACCGTATATACGTAAACACTGACGAATGTCACTCAAGGGGTTTGCTACATTTAAGTCATAGATTTTCGCGATCTTTTATTTCTTTCTGTTGCTGATGTGGCCAGGTTTTGGAAATTCAAACCTAGAAACATCCGAAATTATATAACAATAACATTTAACACATTTTTTTACATTTAGAATGTCAATTTCTCAGACATCTGAATGGATTTTCACGCAGGTCTTCTATGAGGTCGTGGTGTTTACCCGGACGGAACTGCAAATTCGTGCAACAGCGTGGTCTTACCACAGACGATAGTTATTTAATCAATGTATTTTTTTTCATCATTGCTAAATGTAGTTGGCACTTTTAGAACGTGTAGCAATAATGAAAAAAAAATACATTCGAAATATTTATATTCCCGCCTATTGTATGATATTTGAAACTGACAACGGTTGGGATTAGTTTTTGTGCGAGTGCTAGACTACTGAGTCGCTTGTAGTATGATTGTAAGGGTTAATTTTTCTGTATCGAGTAATCGCGTTACGCTTCTTCTCAGAGCACGTATACTCTTTTCCTTGCAGATATGTTAACTAGTTTAGAATTTATTACTCAAGTAATCAGTTTATACGTAAATAATACAACATGACAGTGTACGGCCTTTTTAACTCTGCTGCTTACGAGTTTAAAAAAATCTTATGATAGTGTTCACGGTGTGTGACAAAATAATTGATTTTCAGGAGTTGTCTAAGTATCTCCAGAGCCCAAGATCCAATACCAATGAAATTAATATGGGACCAAATGGGAAGTACCAGCTTTCAAATAAAAAAAAGAATCATCAAAATCTGTTCACTCAGTCAAACACAGTTCTGAAATCGGTTAAAAATTATGAAATTTTCTTCGTGCTTTTCAAATGTTACTGCGAAATATTTCGAATCTGATTAAAGAGTTTTTATTTTTCTTTTAAACTATAACGATTTAACGTCTGATACGTTAGAGACTTTGTTTAATTTTTCAGAATAGGTAAACTGTAGAGACTTCCATCGGAATAACTGCGGAAGGGCTACGCAACAGTGTTCGCTGTTGCACAAATGGGCAGGTCCGTCCGGGTTTGTACCACGACCTCGGAGAAGACCGGCGTGAAGTATAAGTGCTATGCTTCTGCGTTTCGTCTGGTGAGTGAGGTAGCCGGGGCTTACTTTATTTATTTATTTTTTTAATTCAAAAACTCGCTAGCACTTAGAACCTATTCACTCTTGCCTTGAAGACGCCAACGTTGTATTTGTACGGAAAGACGGACGCCGGCAGGCTATTCCATTCCTTAGCTGTACGGATGATAAATGAAGAAGCGAAAAGCTATTAAAAGGTAGCAACGCATCTGCAACGCTACGGGTGTTGCAAATATCCATGGGCGGGTGGTTATTACTTAACATGAGGTGAACCGTTCGTTTGCCACCTTGCCACATAAAAAAAATCCATCGAAATGTGCATTTACGACTAATATTGACGTTGCTATTTATAAAACAATAATTCCTTCATGGCGGGGCCGGGTTTGTCTGGAAATGATTTTATCAATGTTTATGATTTCTGCTGCGTTAGCGTTTCGGCAATTTGTTTGGAATGTGTTAGTTGTCTCGTTGGTGTGAATTTCGATTCCAGTTATTGTTATGCGACAGCGTTTGGCCTATGTGAGGTTTGCGATGTGCTTACCGTATATACGTAAACACTGACGAATGTCACTCAAGGGGTTTGCTACATTTAAGTCATAGATTTTCGCGATCTTTTATTTCTTTCTGTTGCTGATGTGGCCAGGTTTTGGAAATTCAAACCTAGAAACATCCGAAATTATATAACAATAACATTTAACACATTTTTTTACATTTAGAATGTCAATTTCTCAGACATCTGAATGGATTTTCACGCAGGTCTTCTATGAGGTCGTGGTGTTTACCCGGACGGAACTGCAAATTCGTGCAACAGCGTGGTCTTACCACAGACGATAGTTATTTAATCAATGTATTTTTTTTCATCATTGCTAAATGTAGTTGGCACTTTTAGAACGTGTAGCAATAATGAAAAAAAAATACATTCGAAATATTTATATTCCCGCCTATTGTATGATATTTGAAACTGACAACGGTTGGGATTAGTTTTTGTGCGAGTGCTAGACTACTGAGTCGCTTGTAGTATGATTGTAAGGGTTAATTTTTCTGTATCGAGTAATCGCGTTACGCTTCTTCTCAGAGTATACGTGTTCCTTGCAGATATGTTAACTAGTTTAGAATTTATTACTCAAGTAATCAGTTTATACGTAAATAATACAACATGACAGTGTACGGCCTTTTTAACTCTGCTGCTTACGAGTTTAAAAAAAGTAACAGAATATATATTTCCCACTGCTGGT